GGTCTATAATCCTTTGATTCACAACTCCAGCTTTATTTAGTATTTCTTTCAACGTAGCAAGATTTGGCTACATTGGGCCAAATGTGGTTAATTTTTTTTCGCTTGATGTAAAAAATATCATTTGGTGCTTTGGCTACTTTTTCGGCTACATATTATTTATAATTAAATTAATTAAATAAAAATGCACTTTAAAATGGTGTTTCGTTGCTTTTTATTAATTAGAGACCCAAATAAAACAAATATTCTTGTTTTTCAAATGAATTTTCTTTAGTCTCTTTTATAATAAATGACTTTATCTATTTCTAAGTAAAAACTGAAAGTGTCTGTAGAAGTAATTTTTTAAAATATCCTTTTTTCTTGATAAAGTTTTAATACTTATTATTATAATCTAGACATGTTAATCCTTAAATATACTTGTATATTGGGCCACAAGTATATGTTATATATACTTGTGGCCAAAAACTCCTTCACTTCTTCCAATGCGGCCCAGAGAAACAAAAAGGTTGGACACCCCTGTTCTAAACAAACTAAAATAATAACTTTTAGAAACAAAAATAATACAGAAAAATAAATATACAACAGAAATAATATATAGTACCTAATATCATTTTATTTATTACTGTTTTTTTTTTTAAAAAAACTTCTCAAAAAACTTAAATTATTTAAAGTCTTATTTCCTAATTTTTTACTTCTAACAGTTGTTAGAAGTAAAAAATTTATTTAAGGTTTAAATTTTAATGTTATTTTACAATAATATTGCATTAATGTCCTGTTATAATGTGGTGTATTCAAAATTGTTATTAATTTAAAAAATATGTGAAATATTAACATATTATTATTTTAAAATATTAAAAAAGGAGATATTTACTTACTCTTTAAGAAAAATGTTGATTGTAAAGATTTTAAACCTTTGAAAATCTTAAAAAAACTGCAGAGTACAAATCACATATGCTAACTAGCGCTTTCTGTACGATTTACAGCGCCTCTCAAACCCAAGAAAGTTTAAATTAAACAAAATATCTCTCATAAAATTAATAATTAAGTATATTGTTCCTTACACTTACCCATTTTTTATTTTCAATGTCCCTTTAGCCCTTTTAAATATCTATAAACATAATATTTTCTACATAAAAATTTCTAGTATGAATTTTTCATTTACTGGTAAGCCGGTAAATTTTTGAAATTTACCGGTAAGTTTACCGAATGTTTTTTGTCAATTTATCGGTAAACTGGTATACAATCCCTAGTGCACACCCACAAGGTGTGCAAAATGACACTGCTGAAATGCAGTAACTTGCAAGGCCAACAGCAAGTTTTGTTTGCAGATGGAGATGAACCACTCCTGTCTGAGTGCCAGTTGCCCTTCTTACTCGAGAGAAGTAGCCATGGTCCAGTCTTGTAACGACTATGGCCAGTAACCAACTGAAGTTGGCCCAAAATGAAAGGGAACTGACGAGACACACACAACTGTAGGTCTCTGATCTAATGCTCAGTATCTAAACTGGGCAAGGCTAACTTAAAGCCCCTCTGCCCGTTCTAAGTAAATGTGGGGACCTTTGGGCCCACGGATTATTTGAACAATGTAGATACAGTAGAGCGTCATTTATCCGAAGGTCGGTTATCTGAAGGAATTCCAGTCGACAAATTTAAATTTTCACCAGTGCTGTGGCGCTGTAATCTTTGGCTATGTCTTCGGCTACTCAAATATTTTACGTTTTTGATACTAAATTAACTTCTGAAGTATAATTTTTATTGTTTTTATATTTTTCAATATATTTATTTTGTTTGTACAAAATAAAAAAAAATAATTTTTAACGATACAATAGTCTTCGTTAGGCTTAACATCGACGAAAATTCAACGCAAAGCGACACGCAACGGAGAAAAATTTCAACATGGGATAAATTAATATATTTTTTCATACATAATTAGTTATCCGAAAAATAAGTTATCCGAACAACCCCAGTCCCCAATTGATTCGGATAAACGACGCTCTACTGTAATGCTATTTAAGGGCTAGGACTGGGTTGGGCTAGAACCTACCTGGCCTGCAACAGAAGTGAAATGCTTACAAGACTTACAAGCTGTACAAAACTATGTCAGCATTAGAGTTGGACTCAAGAGCAAGGAAGGTAAGGAAGGCTGGTCCCCATTGGGTTGAACTGTCAGAGCCCAAGCATATAACTCGATCTGATTTCAATTGTTCAGACACCTCAGTGATTACCGAGTGCCCGACTATTGACTATTTAGGTAGTTTCTTTGTACTTTGTAGTGCCAATAGGTGGGGCAGGGTCAAATACTTAGAGATGTTATATATGAAATATCCCTTGTATGACATGGTAGTTACGCTCCAAAAAAGTGCCATGTTATGTGAATCTGTGCTGTTCAAAACAAAGGACTAGTGAAAATCATAGGGTTAGGTTCCAAAAGTTAGCAAAAGTATACTATTCTTTTCCATCCCTAAAAGAAATTGTTTATTAAAGCAATCAATAATTAACAAAAAATCATAATTAAAAGTACTGTATTACATGTTAATATTAATTTTAATGAGGGCATTTTCTTTTTAGAAATCATCATCATCTGAGCTTTTTTGTTGATCTTGGTCAGAATTACCAGCAACATCTTCATTTTTCTTAAACAAACAAATTCACACAAATGCTAATTCCAGTAGTAAATGAACAAAAGTGTGAATTTAGTTTGTTTATTATATAGTTCCAGTTTATGTGTGCCAGTTTTTTTATGTCTGATTCATTTTTCTTATTTTTATCATAAAGCTTTTATGGATGAGAAAATAAATATGTTATTAAACAAAAATTTGTTCTAGGAGGCCCTTGTTTGTTCAGTTCTGTACAAACTACTTTTTTCCAGAATTTGTGTTAGAATACCAAACTGTTAAAGTTGGGAACAGTTGAGTACTGAGATACTGTCATATTTCATTCATCATTTTTACAAATGATTACTTACCTATGGTTAAAAAAAGTTTAATAACACTTACCTAAAAATATTTAAATAAACTTTACTAAATAAAAAGAGTAATCTATAAAAACAAAACATGGTGACAGTTTTACATGCTAAAATCTGAAAGCGACGATGACGATGACATCCAGTTGATAGAAAAATTAGGTCAAGGAAGAAAAAATTGCTCTATCAGTTTTCATTAATGTAAACCCAAGGAAAGGCACAAAACAAATTGAAAACACCAATATTTTAAAACCCACAGGTAAATCAGAGATGGCACACGCTTACTTGAATAAAAAAAATATTGAATAACCGAGTTTGAACTTTAAAGTGGCAAAATTTTGTACAGACGCATTCTCAAATGGCATTAGAGTGAAACTGGAAATTGTGTTATCGAAGTGCCACATAGTACAAAGGATATCTGTAGTTACAAAATATTAAAAAAATTATGGTTTTACATAGTATGGAATAAATAATTATTCAATAAACTATTGATACATCAACCTCAGCAAAATACAGGTAACCCCCATATAACATGGGAGTTATGTTTCAAAAAATTGCTGTGTTATGCAAATCCGGGTTATACAAAACAAAGAACTAGTGCGAAAAGGGGGGTTAGGATCCTAAAATTAAAAAACATGCTGTTAAATCCTTATTTAAATCGGATTTATTATTCATTTCTTTCACAGGTAAAATACTTATTTATTATTTAAGTAAAAAATTTACCAGAGGATTATTCATCCTATATGATAATTTCAGCATGAGCATCATCAACCGGTAAAAGTTTTAGGGTGCATTCTTTAATAGCGGTCGCTCTGCAACGGGAGTGCGCTGCTGTTTAGGAACGACAGTGAAAGAAAGATGGCGGTGCCCACACTATCGATAGTATCGTGATGGAGGAATCTATAATTCTAAAATGAGCTTTTAGAGCAAAAGAAGGCTTCAATTGTAAAATTTAACCATTAGATGAATTATTTGTTGAAAGAGCATTCAAAGTAGACACGAAAACAATTAGAATGCTCGTGCAAAGTTACGCTGTGGTATAAAAGAACGCACCCTTTATTACATTTCATGTTATATGGGAATGTTCCCAATTCTCGAACCGTGTTAGAGTGAATCCGTGCTATAGAAGTGTCATGTTATACGGGGTTATCTGTAATTCAAAATCATTCCATAAACACTTCACTTCACTCTCTCTCTCGTTTATATGGAGATTGCAGCCTATACATAAACACTTTTTTGTTTCGATTCCATAAATAATTACAGCAGTATAATGTGTAATTCTAAAACTTAAAAGAACCGGCAACATTTAAACAGGAAAAACCATTCGAAAAATTTTTTAAAAATTTGTTAGCCACATAACTTCGAACCGTTACAATTGTTATTCTTAAGCAATTTATACATCCATTTTTATGTTTGTTTGAGAAAGTTGCAATTCTTTCATCTAGTGTTTAAATTTAAAAATAAACTAAATAAAAGTATTTGGGGATTTAGTTTCCTCAGAGGGTTTTAGGGGTAGGGATCACTTGTCAAAAGGGAGTCAAGATTTATGCAAAATATGGGAATAGGTTAAATTTCAGATGCGTATACTGTCATGGCGGCGGTCTCGCCTGTTCGTACTCCCGTCGGATTGATACATACTAGTTATTGATACTAGTGTGTTCAAGAACTACTGTGAATCAATAACTGGTGACGTTTGGCACAAGACAGCCTGCCGGTGGCTCCTCTCCGGGAGGAGTCAGTCGGGATCGCCGCCATGACAGTATACGCATCTGAAATTTAACCAAAAAGTTGATGTAAAATCTTTCTTTGGTATAGCAGTAAAGAGAAGGGCTTAAAAATTAAATAAGCTTGAAATGCATATGTAACCTGTATCTTCAAAAAGGATGTTCCTGACCTTGAGGCTGTAAGATAGTCTACCGGAATTTGGTTTTTGGATTAGAGATATATACACAACAAACGAACAGACAACTACCAAATTACAGAAAATTTCTTTGAGTAGTTGTCAACACAATATTCTGGATATTTAATTATATTCACCTACTTTTAAAGGTTGTAAAGTATCCTTGCATCTATGCAATTCCTTAATAAGTTCCATTGCTTTATCAGCTAACATTTCCTTTAACAATTTTCTTGGAAATAAACTAAAATATACAAATAACGAAAACCACCGCACAAACGATCTCAAAAACAACCGCGACGAATAGCGCCACCTGCAAAAATTCTATATTTAGAAAAATAAATAAACTCGATAATTTAATTTTTATATCAAAAAAGGTCACAAATAAAATATGTCATTGAGAAATAAAAGTAATTTAAATAAATCTTTCAAAATAATAATATTTTAATTTAAATTATAAAACTTAAAAAGAATTAAAGAATAAGAAAATAAGATGAAATAAATTATTTATTATTATATTTCGTAGTTTAAACTAATTATAAGTAATTAAAAAATAATGAATTTATTAAAATATTATTTTTATTGTTATATTTCGGAAAGTAAGTCGCTCCGTGGAGTGTCGTGACGTCATTAAGACACATCTTCGTTTGTCAAGAACGAAGTTTGGAGTTTATAGTTATTTGTTACCTTTAAATGTTCAATTAATTATGTGCAAAATATAAATTAAATATCGTATTTATTTAATTAAAGTGATAATTTGTCTACAGATGGATCCAAATGCAATGAGAGGAGGTAATCAGTTTTTTTTTATTATTAAGTCTTTAAATTGAATCTCAGACTGTACATCTGTTATAACAAGTTTATCAGAGTTTATACTTACTTTTACAAACTTCAATTAAACACTTACAAAGGTATTTTATGTAACATATTTAGCTTATTACTCAAGTTTTAATTAAAGAAAAACTACAATGTCATATGGAAATAATCAAACTTTTTGCATATGTCTACTTGGTAAACTCATTTCATTTCACACACATTTATATTTTCTTTTTACCTATTAAAGTCATAATAATCATTTCCTCTATGTATAAATCAACGGTTTCAAATAATTAAAAAAAATAGTTGTTCAGTTAATCATCTCATCATTGATTAATCCAATATGGTTTGATTTTCGTGCCAAATATTGAATGTCAGGAAGGAAAACAACACTGAGTGTGGCATTATTACTGGCTTTTTTAAACTGCTAGCACTTTCAACAAATCTATGATCGTTGTCTTCGGGTGAATGAAGATTTAAAAACAAACAAAAATGTTCTAATGTGAGATGGAACAATTTATTTAAATTGAAACTTTAAATAAAAACTTTTTAGAATTAAAAGCCGTTGCAAACTATAAACGTCGATTACATTTGATGTTATGATGTGATGCGGTGCATCCACGAATGCACCAATGGTCTTATGGAAAACAAGGATGATCGTAACCCTACCGGGTGTAATGTCGACCCTAACTGGGAATCTTGACCTCCCCCTCCAATGTTGCATGTCCCAGGTTGTTTTTCGAGCCAAAAAGGCACAAGGCAGACTGGTCATTGCAACCACTTGTAAACAAGAAATCTCACCGTACCTACATTTTAGAAAAGGTGCTTGCTAAGTTCATATGCACACTGGTCCCAGACTTGCCCAATGTCACTCCCTCATCTTTTGTTGTTAAACCCACCATCACTTTGGGCATTGGTAGGGTACAAGCAATCTGTAGAATACAAAAGCTTCTACAAACTGGATCTGGTATCCTTGTACCCTTCGATCTATCTCTCCATAAATTTTACTTGGGAAAAAGAAAGTAATGCGGCTATAGCATTTTCAGATTTGCACATACATAGACCCCCAGAAACAGTACTATCCTTGGTTTACCATAAGTTTAATAATTTAATATTGTACCTTACATCATCCAGCAAATATTTCAGCCTTCACATTATGTTGATGCCACCATCGCTGCCCTCGTTAATAGAGTCTTCTTGCTGCTATCAATGCAAGAACTTGTAAACATTGAATTAAACAACATTAACTTAGCAGTACGTGCAGAGGGTTTTTCATGTGCTAAGTTCACACATGCTCAACATGGTCAGGAAAGCACTATTTCCAAACACCACACTAAGCAACAAGAGGGAGGTCACAGTAGTTCAACCATCATCACCATACCTCAGACCTCTTTCTATATGCATTTGTCACATACTTAGGCAACACAACCTTCTCCTGCCCCTTTCTCCACTGCCAAATTCTGCTGCAAACTTAGCTGCACAGACTCATCTGCAACGATCGGGACAAACTCTCCACCTTTGAGAAATTGGGAGTCTATGCAGTACTGTTGGAAAATCCCGTAACTGGGATCAATACGAGATACATTGGGGCCACAGAAAAGAATGCTTGCTATCCACCTAGCCAAACACCAGAATGATTTGGCAAAAGGAAAGTGCACCACAGAGCTAGCAAAAAAGTGCATGATCTGAATTACAACCTGTTATGGGCCCAAACTACAATACTCAGATCCTGCAGTGACCAAAAACTCCTCTTTATATGGGAGTCATAACAACCTTGGAAATGTGCAATGCACCCACTCTGGAACTACCCAACATAGGGGTTGCCCTATATAAACAGCTAAACAATGATTTACATCATCTCTCACACCCTTGACATGGACCAGCACCCATGCATGCACCGTATTATATTGCACTCATAACATCATACGTATTTGAAATTTGTAGCCGATTCATAAGTTTATTCCAAAAATCATTTTATTTAAAATTATATGCATTCCTTTTCCATTTTGAATGCTCATGTTTGATTTAAAAAGTTTTAATTTGTCTGAAGACAACAAAAATATATTTGTTGAAAGCTCTAGAAAAAAGAAAACTAGTAATAATGCCATACACAGTGAACTCTACTTCCTGCTATATGTGTGGAAATACTATATATATATATATGTTTGTTCACTTTCCTTGGATGCAAGGATAAAAATTTAAAATAGTCTCAATTTTTGTGATAACTCAGGATTTATTTTCTTCATAATTTGAAGTTTAGACTATGTACAAAAAGTCAAAAAACTTTTGAGTCCTTCTTTATCCTTTATACACCACCATAGAAGTAACAGCCTAAAAAAATGCTTTGAAGAACTCTTCTTAAACACTGATAAAAATTGGTAAAAAAATTCCACAAGGTTAAAAAAGATCAAGTGTCAGCCTTTCATTGTAGGTTTCTGACACTTTTACAATTAAAAACACAAAGAAATTCTTCACACTATCATTTTTATCCACCTTTTTAAATTGCTTCTAGCCCTCTAGTTATCACAAAAATTGTAACTATATTGCAAATAATGTTAGATACTTGTAACTACCACTAGAGGGCTAGAAGCAGTTTAAAAAGCTGGATGGAAATGATGGTGTGAAGAATTTCTGTGTTTTTAATTGTAAAAGTGTCAGAAACCTACAATGAAAGGCTGACACTTGATCTTTTTTAACCTTGTGAGATTTTTTACCAATTTTTACTTGTGTTTAAGAAGAGTTT